TGTCTCAATGATTACAGACCAATTGCTCTTACATCTGTTATCATGAAATCCTTTGGACGYATTGTACTCTCACACCTGAAAAAAGTCACTTCCCCCATRATGGACAGTTACCAGTTGGCATACCGGACCAACAGATCTGTTGAAGATGCAGTTAATCTGGCTCTTCATAACATCCTGCAACACCTGGAATCTCCCAACATCTATGCCTGGATACTGTTCATTGACTTTAGCTCCGCCTTCAATACTTTAAACCCAGTCAACCTCTTCAACAAACTTATGGACATGGACATTAATTCCACTCTGTTACTGGATACACAACGTTCTTGTACAAAGAACACAGAGAGTCAGGATCGGTAGCCTCTCATCCTAACCTCTTACTCTCAGTACAGGTGCCCTCCCAGGGCTGTGTTCTTTCACTTTGACTTTTTTCACTCTACACAAACACGCTTACATCCACTCACAGCTCAGTCTCTATCCTCAAGTATGCAGATGACACAACAATAATTGGACTCATCACTAACAATAATGAACATCACTATAAACATGTAACTCAAGTAGTTACCTGGTGCCAAAATAACAACCTACAGTTTAACGCATCGAAAACACAGGAACTTAAGTTGATTTTTCTCGTTCACCCACTCACAAGACACCCATCTCCATTTCCAACATAACCATCACCGATTCATTTAAATTCCTAGGTACACACATCAGTAACACACTCAAATGGAAACACCACTCAAACCAATTTTATAAAAAAAGTCAATAAACAATTATTTTTTCTCAGACAATAAAAAAATGTAGAATTAGGCATAACATTCTCATTCAGTTTTACACCGCCATTATTCAAAACATACTCACCTCATCTATAATAGTCTGGTATGGAAATTTGGACTCCCATTCACGCAAAAACCTACAGCGTATAATAGATAAATCATCAAAAATTACAGGCTGTGCCCTCCCATCCATTGACACATTGTTTCATAGACTCATTACGCAACGAGCAACAAAGATCATCTCAGACCCCGCTCATCCGGCATATCATCTGTTCATACTTATGACTTCTGGAAGACACTACAAGTCTTTATCAACAAAATCATTCAGATTCAAAAACAGTTTTTCCCAACTGCTGTACGGTTACCAAACCAGATCATTAACTGATATCTTTAAGTACACTCATTGTTTGTATTGTTGTTTGTTTAGACACAGAGATGTGAGCATGTCATGCTGTACCAGAAGCAAATTCCACCAATGTGTTGTGTGGTCATCAATAAATGAATCTGAATCTTATTGTAATATCAGTGTGTGCAATATTCATATCGCAAAGGACTTCTTGGAGTGCAGTAATTGTTGACTAATGGTGCGTTCACACCGAACGCGATTTCAGCGTCAGGAGCAGCAGGTTTACATGCAAAGTCTATGGTGGACGCGCTTCAAGCAGCGTCGGGAAGTTCTGCGGCGCCTCAAGCGCGATTAGAGCAGCGCGATTTGGACGATTTGGACGATCTGAGCGTCGAACGCTAAATCGCTGAAGTTAGAAAATCTGAACTTTTGCAGCTCGACGCGCAGCGTCAACCAATCAGAGAGACTCCACTGTGTGACGTAGTGACATATTTCCCGACGGGACAGTTTACTGAATGATGTCCACTAACCTGAAACAGACAGAGCTCCTGCTCTTTAGCTGAAATGAGTGCTGCAGTCGTGTCCTGATCCGCAGCAATGCGTGGCAGCGACTCATCGGACTGGAAAAAATAGTCCTGAAAGCGAGCTGTGAGCCTCTTCTCTGAATTATCTGGTGAATTAATTATTAATTAATTATCTGATGAACGTGACACGTTCTGGCTGTCTGTAAATAAAGCAAAGCCACTTCCTCGTCCGACATTAAACAGCCCCACAGAGGAGGGAGGGGCGGGGCGGCTGTCGCCGTGCAGCGCTGCTGTCCTGCGTCTGACCTCAAAGTGCACAAGCTTCAAACTTCAGCGTTGGCTGCGATTTTGACGCTGAAATCGCGTTCGGTGTGAACGCACCATAACACACACAGAGACCCACACAAACCCACTGGTTATGGCAAGGAGGCGGGATCTCGATCGCTATTAGCTTTAGATGGCCTTCGTCGGGCATGTCATCCAATAAGAGCCTTTGTTGTCGAGCCGCTGCGTGGCAACTCACAGACACTCTCACTTGTTTTCATGAGAGAAAACGTCACTATATATCTATACTACTATAACGCACAAAGCCACAATCACTGTGTTTGACAGGGGAGTTTGCTAATATAGCCCAATATATTGCTAATATACAGTACTGCTGGAGCTCAGCTGTACCAGAGCCAGAACTAAACTAAAACCCTTCTACGTAGATATTAAAACCTCTGTTTAGAAATCGATCCATCCCAACACTCTAAAAATGAAATGTTGGATTTACTTAACCATGTTATGTGACCTGGTTCCACTTAACTGAGTTGAGTAAATTCAAAGCAACATACTCGTGTCCTTTGGTTAAAAAACTGCTATATTGCTTTGAATTTACTCAACTCAGTTAAGTGGAACCAGGTCACATAACATGGTTAAGTAAATCCAACATTTCATTTTTTACAGTGAATGGCCCGCTCGCACCAAGGTCTCTGCTCTCTGAGATTTTACAGATATTGAGCTGGGGTTTGACTGGTGGTAGTGTAGCGTTCTGAATATGAACTGAATGCTAGTGCTAGACCTTTTAAAAGACCTTTTTAGGTGAAGATAATAATTTTAATAACTAATTAATATTTTTAATAGAATATAAAGTGATGCAGACGTGTAGTAGTTTTAATTCAAGATTGTTTGTATCGCTTCCCCTTATTCCTGAAATGCACTCTCTTTAGAAATCCTTCTCTACCTGAGCCATTTGCCTCTATTGCCCCTCTCTTTTCCACGGAAATGCTGGCTCTGACCCCGGTGAGAGGTGCAGAACAACTCGTCAGCTGGCAACGAGCCTCTTCAGGGAGCTGGCAGGTCCAAGTCAAGGGTCTTGCCAGTGGGATGGCAATGAGCCCAGCACTCTTTACAAACTGAGTCTGCAGTTTGTATTGACCTGCTCTGTGTTTCTAGGATTTGTTACAACTCCTCCAAGCAGCAGGAGGGAAAACCTGTTCAGTGATGCTGTAATAGACAAAAAACAGGAGCTTTGGATGCTACCACCATCGGCGCTTTCTGCAACTGCTGTCATCATGACCTCAGTTGTCACCTGCCACTGAAAGGCAATATTATTTTTGCCCATGTCTGTGTGTTTATGTTTCTATAAGCCATATATTACATAAAGCAGGGGTGTCAAACTCATATTCACCAAGGGACATATGAGGTTGTAATTACCTTTGATGTTAAACATGTTTAACTTCGACTAAACACGTTGCTACTACTGAGCACTGCTAACAAACAATAACTGAGATCTACATGGTATTTCCTGCATAGCGACAGTGTTTTAACATGTTCCTCTAAACACTGAAAAGTACTGCATGTACAACTGTCTAAATGTGAAACAAATAATACATAAGGCAACATTTTGACTTCAAAATGGATACCTACACTTGTCCAGGGGAGGAGGTTTAAGTATCTGGGTGTCTTGTTCGTGAATGATGGATGGATGGAGTTGGATCCACGGATTGGGGCCTTGTSCTCAGTAATGAGTAGGGATGGGTACCGAACTGGATACTTTTTAAAGTACCGACCGAATTCTGTCGATACTACCGAGAACCTATTCACGTAACATCAAACGCTACCATGTTTCGGTACCTAAACRCATCATTGCGACTGGTTTGGCGCAAGAGTTGAAGATTTTCCATGCTTGTCCTGAACGCAGCATCGCGCAAGAGTGTAATGACATCAGCAGCCGCTGGTTCAGTAAACAAGAGTTCAGTCTGAACGTAGCTTGAAAGCCTCACAGCTCCTGGAGTGAAACTCACCGAACAGACCGCCAACGAATTATCTGGTGGATTAATTATCTTGTGAGCACGACGTTCGCTTGCTCAAAGTAAATAAAGTACCGCCACTTTCTTTATTTCATCCGCCATTAAGCAGAGACTGGCAGAGGAAAACAACAGAGGCGCTTCCCGACAGTCCGAATGCATCTGACCTGAAGGAGCACAAGCAGCCAACTTGAAGTATTGRGCACGTTTTGGATGCTCAAAACGTAGCTTGAATACCTTTTATTTATTTTAACTCCATCCTCTTTTGCTTATTTGATTTTTTAAATATTTGCCTTCCATGGACATACATCACACATTTTTTTCTAGCAGGGAAATGACATCAATAGAAACACGAGGAGCTGGATTTTAATTTGTGCAATAAGACAAAACAGTCTTGTTGTTTTCAAGAGTTTTCACCTTAAAGAAATTAGTTAAACAACTTACAATACAAAGGGTTGGATGTTGTCTTGATATTTGTTATATTTTATATATTGAGAAATTTGTTAAATAAAAAAAAGTTTAAGTTTATTATTTAAAAC